CCTAAAAAATTAACGATATTTTTTGAATTCTTGTCTTTTGTTTCCGCCATTCTGTTTATATGACATTTACTGGTATTTGGCAGTAAAACAGATTTTCAGATTTTACTGAATTCTGTACCGAGAAAAAAATGCTTAAAACATCGTAGATATCTCCAAAGATTTATCTTTCTTTGGGTGTGAAAATAAGCACCATCTAACAGAGCAGTTGTTGAATCAACCCTTATTCTTTGTGTGTGTGAGGGGGGGGGAGGGAGAGAGAGAGAGGGGATACTAGGATTTATATGACCTAGTTGAATTGAATAATAGAATTATAAACTAAGTTAGGCAGTGTTTGAGAATATTTTTGTGATATAACATTAAAATCTTTATGGAAAAAATTGAAATAGAGTTGACGATTAGATAGCTATTAAAATTATTAATAGTTTGCTATCATATAAGTTTGATGTCCATCAAATTTTAATTTTAATTTTCACACTTTGAAATTTTACCATGTAATCCAAATTCATATAATTTTCATGTAATAAACAATGATGCTTTTGGGATGAATGAGATGTTTTCTAAGTTAATGATCATGCATATTTCATGAAAAAAAAAATGTGTGTGTTTTTAAACTTTTTCAAGATTAAATTGAATAAACTTTTTGAATCCCTTGTGGTAGAGTTTTTATGTCTGTGAAAGACTGTTTGTCGTGCGTTTTCGTCATCGATGTAACAAAGGCGTTTTTCGCATTTGTAAAGGATAAAACGGCATAAATATTACATTTGGATCTTCTATTTATGTGTAAAGTGAGTTTAAAATATTAATGAAAGTCAGGTATAATTAAAAAAAGAAAGCTTTTCTGTCTATGACCATAGAATCTCATACTGGAACAATTCATGACCTTTTACAGAAAACTGTGACATCATAATCAGTATGAAGTACATTTTTTTTTTTTTTTTTTTTAAAAAAAAAAGGCCAATGCATTTTCCAGAATAGAATATGCAAGTCGCATTTCCTGTGATTCCATATTATTCAAATTTACAAAAAATGTAAAACACAAAATGAAACAAAAAAGAAAAAGGAACTCGTCATTAACATTGAATTCTTTTATCAAAGTCACTTCAATTTTATTTTCTTATTTCTTAATTTTTGTTACAAAAGCCATTGATTATGATATTATAGGGTTATTGAACTTATATTGGTGAATATTGGAACTCGTTGGCTGTACAAATGCACGAGCTTGCCAATGCAGTTATACAGCCACCGAGTGCTAATATTCACCAATTTAAGTTCAGTAACTCTTTTATTATAAAGCTAAAATATTTCCCTTTGATTATATTTACTATTTCAATTAAATAACTCAAAATTAATGATTTTTTTAGTATTGGTTTTAAATTAAAATTGCAATATCAACGTCTATCCTGTAAGTGTTCAATATAACATTATTCAGAGACCCTACCAAGCGTTTGCCTATTGAGGTAATTATTGAGGCTGATAGGTACTAAATTATTAATCACCAAATTTTTCAAAAGTTAATAACATCAAAACGTTCGCCTTTTCTGCACTTATAAAACAACCATTCTTCACGTTAAATACCAGGAAAAACTAAGCTTTTTGACATTATAGACAACTGTTTCTTCAATAAAAATGGAAGTCGGAAATTTTCATTTCATTTCAGTTGTTAAAAACACTCTGGTTCCAGTCAAAAGTACTCTGAAATTGATATTAAAAGGATGTTGGAGTTCCTGATTGACAACATTTATGTAGTCTTCGGAGACTACATGTAGGTCTTCCAACAATTTGTTGGAATTTCAATGATGGGCACTGATTGTGCTCCTTTTTAGCCGATTTGTTTTTATATTCCCATGAAGCAGAATTCATTCAAAATCTTCTATGTAAGAAGAAGAAAACACTTGCTATGGCCTTCAATTCGACATTCAGATATATCGACGACGTTTTATCAATTAACAATAGTTACTTCAATTCATATGTCGACTCGATATATCCCAGTAAACTTTAAAAAAGGCATGGCATAGTCTGTCACATCTGTTTCATATTTGGATATTTGGTGACCATAGACGATAAGGGCAAACTAACAAAAGTGATGACCTCAGCTTTTCCATCGTCGTCTTCCTTATTTATAATTACATGTATATAGTAATATTCCGCATTCAGCTGCACATGGTGGTTACGTTTCCCAACTTATTCGATAATACTCAAGGGCATCGTCTGAATACGATCAGCTTTTTTAGCCAAGGCAAGCTACAGACAGATAAGTTGATGTTACAGGAATCTCAACAACCTCGTTTTATGTCAACATTTCATTAGTTCTATGGTCGTTTTAATGACTTTGTTAACAAATATAACCTATTATTGGGTCGAATTTTGGCTGACATGTTTTATTCCAATTGTTAGGCATTTATTTTTATACTAAATTTGACTACGGAATGTTCCGTCTACCTGATCAATACTTAGGGCTCAAGGCGAGCGTTACGGTTGACAGGGGATGTTCACTCTTCCTGGGCATCTCATCACCCCTCTGGAATTTCCGGGGGTCTGTGTTTTATTCCCTGTTCATAAATTTGTATTGTTATGAGATATCTTGAGATCGATCAATGTTCGTTATCTTTACTTTTTTAAAAATTTTAACCCCCCACCCCCACCCTCCTCCGTGAAACAGAAATTCCTTTTACAGTTATCATGATTGTTATTTAATAAATTCAAACTAAGCTTTTCATAGGGGAGGGACATACAGAAAAAACCACTGCGAAAAATGTTTATTACGAATTTCTAATTAAATTTCAACTGAAAAACACGACGAAAATGTTCATTTTCCTAGCAATTTTTAATGAGATTACAACAACGAAATGGTACTTTATCAACCTTATATGTTAAATTATACATAATTTAAACATACGGAAAGATTTAAGGGTCATTTATTCATATCAAAGATAAATTTAAAATCCAGTGGTGTTTTAAAGCCCCATTTCAAAGAATAAAATTTTCAACCCCACTTATAAAAAGAGTTGTTATTAAGAGCAATTAACTATTTGACACTGGTATTAGAATTGTTAATCAGTTACTAATGAACTCTACTTTGCATTCAGTAAAAGTTTTAATGACCAAATTCCCATTAATGATGAATTAGTTGTGTGTAAAATATAGACGGATACCGAGAGTTAGCGTGAGTAGTTTCTTCTTTACATATCAAGAAAACAAATGTTTTCAAATTTAAATTTGGTAAATGTGTGTTATCTCACATTGTATCACATTAATGTACATTGTACAACCATATTGCGAGTAAACCTAAGCATAACTTGCAGTGACGTCATTATTTCATAAATGATGATTATCCTTAATAATAATTATAGCTTTAAAAAAATGGAAGGAGTGCTTAAGGATAATTTCTAATAGTACTGTAAAGACAGCAACAATAATTTCAGGTGGCATATAGATATGTCTTAGTCTATTTTAAAAAAAAATAATAACAAATGTAACTTTGACACAGGTTTCCCGGTCATACTACCAGCACTGATGATTAAAAAATCTACGTTTTTCTATTCACTATAGACTTTTTGAAAAAAGACTGTCTAAAACGAAACTGAGTAAATACATTGTATCACTGATATTAATTTAAGAAGATTCATTGATCAATAAATTGGAAAACATTCTTTGATCAATAAATTTTCCTTTTGTCCTTAATTTTTTTTATTTCTTTGTAATCCTTTTGTAAAATGATCAATAATAAGAAGAAGAGGAATGCATTTCCTTTACTTTTTTCTTTCATCATTGGACTGTAGATATTAATACAATCATTACAGTATATTTATTCTTTAGACACGATCAAATTCCTCTATAAACTATGTCATATTATCATACAAATGTTTAGCATATTTATTTGTTTTCATGCAGGCAATAATCAGGACCGTCGCCAAGTTACTTTAAAAGGAGGGGTCTCACTGAGGACCCCTCTTCTGAACCAAAAATCGTTATAATGGATACCATTTTAGTGGATCATGGTGCATTTTTTCAAGTGTTAAATGATCAAAATCTAGCAGCATCACTTTAAATAAATGAATAAGGAATTCGCTTTGTTTAAAAAAGAAACATCTTATTTTATTATTTTTTTTGAAGGGGGGGGGGGGTAGGGTGATCGCACCAAAAGCACCTCCCGTTCCAACGGATGAATGAATAATTGCAACATTGGACATGCTAAACTTCGATAGATTTTCATTGACGAGAAAAAAAACAATTTATCTATTTTCTTTTAGCTTAAAAGTACATACTTCTTATGTAAGATCATTACACATTATTTTGAATATTAGATAGTTTAGCTCGAAAATAGGAAGTCAGTATAATAACAATTTTTTTTAGGCACAAATAACGATATTCCCTCACTGTAGTATAGACGCAAATCTAAAATACGTAGGGTTATCAAGTGATGTTATGACATATAACAGCTGATATTACTTTATATCAACAATCTTAGTAAAATGGATACTTTTAAATACCTTGTTATCGAGATGAAAAACTTATTCTGAAAAATAAAAATATCACGATCAATGCATGTCAGTTAAACTAGGTTACATTCGTGAAATGCACTCTTGCATACTTTTTGTCAACATGTCGTATTTTACGAAAGCAAAATCTTTTTTATTAAAATATTTTAGAGGATGTTTTGTTTATAATTTTATTATTTCTAGAATTTCAAAACAGTAATTCTGACTTCAACGCAGTTGTGACTGATAATATATACAGGAATAAAAGATATTGAGTTTCTATGAAAGCGTTACAAAATAGCGAACTTATTTAAAACCCTGACTTTCCGATCGAACGATAGCAAACCAACACCTGTCATTCAAGTACCTCCACTTGGAGGCTGGGATTTAGTCAGCAAAAGAGGGCGTGGCATGTTATTCACACGTTCATGAATGGGCACGGCGTCCGAGTTTGAGCGACAACAGAAGCAGTAAATAATATGTAAATGTGTTATCTTGTTATCACATAAAATGATTGGCTCTAGAAGAATTTGTTTAAATTGTAGCGGACAATTAGATCCTTCCAAGTGCTAGATGATCGATAGGGCAGGAATTAAAAGACTTTTGATCTCTTCATATTTCTCAAAATTATTTGTCATCTCGAATACGTAGGGTGCAATTATACTTTCATCCGAGGAAGGAAGAAGGAGAAAAGCGGTGACAATTAATACTTATTAAACGTGTACTTTTAAAAAGAGCACACGGTTGTGTTATTAACAAGTTGTGTTATTGACAAGAACTATTTACTAGGAAGAATACAGAAGAAAAGAAAGGAATTTCATACTCTAAATTTGAGAATATGTCTAGTTGTGATGAAATGAGCCCACAGGACTTGTCATCTAGAGGGGATCCATGTGATTATGGTGATCCCTCAAAGCTCGGTGGCAGCGGAGGAGATCATGTCAAGAGGCCCATGAATGCTTTCATGGTGTGGTCTAGAGGACAGCGAAGAAAGATGGCCCAGGATAATCCTAAAATGCATAACTCGGAAATAAGTAAACGACTCGGTGCCGAGTGGAAATTGCTATCGGAAGAAGATAAACGACCATTTATCGATGAAGCAAAGAGACTTCGTGCTCTTCATATGAAAGAACATCCGGATTATAAATATCGTCCCAGAAGGAAGCCCAAGTCTTTGCTCAAAAAGGACAAATATCCGTTTCCTATGGCAATGCCAATGATACCTGGAATCAGCCCTCTGAATGGCTTACCCCCGGGATTCGGTTCCATGGCTTCTGCATCAGAAGGTATGTCACTGGAGAAAATGAGGGCATATTTGCCCCCTACATCTTCTCACGCCCCTTTCAGTCATATGGAGGGAAGTGGTAAATTAGACAATGGCGTTGGTTCTCTCAGTGCCCAGGATAGACTATATTCACCCTATCTATCTGCGTTAAATGCCCACTCCTCGTCAGCAGCTGCCGCTCTGAGCGGCATGCCTCCAGCGGCCCACTCTCATCCTGGGCAGTATCTTCTACCGTATTGTCCACCTAGCTATATGCCCTCGCAAAGTGACATTTCACGTCCAGTGGCGTATGTGTTTGTGAAACCTGAGGATCATTACAACCGACATCCCGCCATGATCTGAAGTTTCATAGGATGTACCAACTGTGATGTCTTTTTTATGCGTGTTCATAGTATGTGCTAGTGGAAAAATGGACAATATTTGTAACATGATCTCTTTGTACCGTTCTAAACGGACTATTTTGTAAGAAAAAAGTGCTAGACTTGAGAACTTAAAACAAAAACATGGTTCTCGTCGGAATCAGTTATGTACTATTGGTGCTTGATTACAAAGTAACAAGTTGATTTTCTTTTTTACATAAAACATTACGTGGTGTATGTACTTTTCAATTATATATAGTTTTATTTTACCAATAGGTTGTTTTTGCATTGACTGTTAGTGGCATTTATATTGCTGTATTTTATATGTATGATTGAGCTTTTTGTGGATATATATGATTGTTAATGGTTTAAATACCAAGGAAAATTGATTAAAACATTTTTTAGACATTTTAAAATCTATCCCTTATAATATTTTTGCTTGTTTATGTATTTTAATGTGTACGCCTCGAAAACAACAAAAAAGGTGAAATATTTTCACACATATATTATCTGCGTTTGGCTTAAAATACAATAAAGTAAACGATTCGCTAGAAAAATAAAATCTCTGGCTGTTTAATTTATGTTTTAGATTTTATTACAACAAAAATAATGCATATCCTTTTGAGAAAAAAAAAATGTTAAATTGTTGGGGAGATGTCCCTACGATGTTGTTATTGAGTAGATCATTTTGCATTCAAGATATTTTTATCATAATTTCATTACGTTTTCAAACATTTATTTCCCAATTCATCGTGTATTAATTGTTGAAAAAATATTATAACAGGTATCTATGGAATTACAAATTTAAAAATCAATATTTTCGAGTTATTTTTTTTTTAATTTGTTGATTTTCTTTAGTGCAGAAAGAAGTATGAGTCGTATCACGTGTGGTATTGATCTTCGTTCATTTAAAACGTAATGATTAGTTATTAAAATTGTTTATTTTTTTTTTTTAACCCTATTTAGGATGTTAAAATACATCAAAGAAATAATTATATTCAATAAAACCTTAGTGTTTAAGAAGGGTGCAAGTTTGATATGTCACTCAGACTTGTTACTTGCCACAACAAAACGGCAAATTTTCTTATTTTGAAAAATTGATTAGTGTGCAAATAAATACCTTCCATTAAAATCAATTTTGATCCGCTCTGACTAATTGTCTAATTAATTTTACTTGCATGTCTCTTTAAATCGGTCGATCTTCTGTTTTAAGTTTGATAATTTGCAAAATCAATTTAACACTATAATGAAAGGCTGAAAAATTAATTAGAAACACAAGAAGAAGAAGAAAAGCGATATAAACTTCACTTTTTTCACAATGTATAAAATTAATTTAAAGTATTTTGTCAATATGATTTATTTCTGCTTCATAAAACGTCAACCTTAAAAGACATACATCATTTTGAACGATAGTCAAATGATAACTATCTTTAGGTGCAGCTAAACGTTTGATAGAAGTCGATCTTGACGTTCACCTTATGTGACAAAAGGGACGCCGGTTTAGATTTATGACTCTGCATTGTACGACAAAAGCAGGTTTAAAATACTTTGAGATAAATATTGTAAGACAATGACATCTCATGCTGTAACATAGGGGTACTTCAGTTGGCTATTTTTCTTTTTTTAAGTACTTAAGCGACCTCTTGCCCTCGTCGGAGACGCCATTGTTTGCTCTTTTCAAGCAGTCGACCATTTTTGTACTTGGACTACTTGGATCTTGTCACTTTTGTGTTTTTGTGTGAATTATTGAGGGAAAGTCGACCATTCTGATTCAACCATATTCAGTCTATAAATTGTTTTTCTCTCTCATTTGAGTGCTTCTTCTTCAAGTGGTTTGTTCAGCTCTTTCCCGCCAATTGTTTCGGCAGACGATTTGTGTCGACCTCTTTTGGTATGTAAAGAAGCTAAGCGGGCCCAAAGAAAGGGTAACGAAATTCACACGCCGATCGTGTGTTAATAAATCATAGCTTTTCGATGTCTATATTTTGTATTAAGTTTGCAAAGGTCATCATATTGCTTTGTTGACAAACCTAACGGTGTCATGCAGCTATTTATATCTCTTAGAAAGCATTAAATTTAGATTTCTCTACAGTACTCTGATACTGATTGTACTGAGGTAAATTTATTCACTTTGATTTTTCCTTATTCTTTCCTCTCTTTTTTTTAATTATCATTTTGGTTTTTCTTATAAAGTCTGTTATCTTCATCGAAGGGAAAAAAAAGAAACAACAATCATTTAGAGGAACATCTCCACCTTTTTACTTAAATTCAGGCGTTTATAACTAAAATTGATTTCAATCAATGATAACGTTCATGGTTAAATTGTTGCAAAATTAAATGACTTTTAAAATTTCGAATTTTCTTTTGATATTTGTATAAATAATAGAGTATGCCACAAAACCAATTTCATTTAGTTTTGTTTTCTTTAAAATGTTATGAAAGCCTTTGAATTAATTTCATTTTCATTTTAGGCCTTTAATATAAAATATAGTCGCAAATGTGTCTTTAAAAATTGATCACAAGACGTGATTCGAAAGGGTACTGCTAAGTACAAATGAAATATACTAAATACGTTGGTAAACAGATTGGTCGCCACACAATGGAAATGTTTTTCATCGCTTTTGATTTTTTACAAAGGAAACAATGGCTAACGCGGACGAGAAAGCAATGCATTTATCCAAATTCTTCCGCAAATGACTTTAAAAGCATCCGCATATAAAAGAAACATAATATAAAAATGACTCCGGTATTTATTCGTTTTATCCACTATTATGTTGATAAGAATCAATGTGACTAAAAAGTCCATCATTGGCTTAGATGGACAATGATACTCGATTTTGGAGTAAGTGTAATATTTACCAACTTCATAAAAGAAAAAAAAATAAAAATTTAAATAGGAATATTTAATTTCAATGTCAGATGTGTATACATGTACTTTGTCTGACTTGCGGTAATTATATAATTTTATGAATGACATAAATACAGTGAGGACATATGGCATATAAAAAAGTAATGTTTTAAAAACCTTATTGTTTCGCTTACAAAAACCCAACCGTAAATATTAATGCCCAATAATGAAATATTGGATATCATTTTGCTATTTTGATACTCAATAAATCTCTCAATCTTTTGGAAAAATTACGTCGCTGAGACTTAAATGCAATACAGAAGTCAATTGAAACAGATCATTTATTTTGCGGTCGGGTTCGATTGGCTCTTCCTGTATTTGCTGTCAATTTGTTTCTTGATAACGATCTCGATCAGTCTGCACCGTGTTTAGATAGAGATATTACGGAAATGAATAGCTAATTACGTAGTATTTGGGAGCTCACATTAATTGTAGCGTGTAAAGTTAAAATCCATATAATTTTTACGATGTCGAGGAAAATTATAAGAAAGCTGTAAGGAAAAAACAATCTTGGATATGATTTATTTAGAAGGATGATATTAGAGAAAAAAAAGGGAGAAAATATTTATTGCCCCACCATTAAAATATCTTGTTTTGCCCTCTCCTAGTCCTAGATTTTAATTTTGATTTTTGATACAATTCCATTTATAAGTATAAAAAAAGTTTTAATTCTTGTTGATTCTCATTGATCATTAAAAATTCCCAGAACATAACACGAACAACTCTCTTTTATATCATATTGTAGTTTGTATTAATTTCTTTTCATCATATTTTACTCTAATAATAATAATAAAAAAAAAAGTTATATTTTCGAAGAATCTTTTGCCATGAGGCTGCATTTAGAATTTTTGTATACGTATTTTATTTGGAAGGACAAGATCCAATTGATTAGGTTGTTTTTCTTTTTCAAATTTCTTTTTAGTAACGCAAGAAAAATGAAATATAAAGTAGTTATCCATTGAGGGTTTATATAATTCTGCATTCACATACTAAATATGATCATCTTAATCGAAGAAGCAATAAAATTTTTAAACGAATTTTATTCTATTTATATCTTTAAAAAAAAATAGATACTAGTTTTAAATGTTACGAACAATTTTAACCTTTCATTGAATTTTTTTAAAGAAAAGAAGAGTACTAGCGCTTTCGTGTGAAGACACGGATTAGCTGCATAGAATTCGTCAAGATGACTCCATCACCAGGGAAAAGATTTCAGAAACTGCTGTGAATATGTTTTTAGGGTTATTTTTGCCTTCATCAGTCTAGAAACAATTCCCTCCGATTCACATCCATAAAATACTTATCTATTCCTTTCTTTAAAACATCAGCCTACAGACTTGGATGAAAAGTGACAGTCATGTAAATGACGCTAAATATCTTGTTCTAATTATATAATATATAATATAAGCAGTACTTATGTGTTTTATGGTAGGCATTATCAATTCCGAAAGCACATGTATTACACAAAGCAAAGCTAGTGTAATAAACATGTTTGAATGTGATATACTTAAAAAATCTCTTTGACGAAACAAAAATAAATAAATTATATATATATATATATATAAAATAGTATAATATATAATATATATATATAATATAATATATATATATAGATAGATAGATAGATAGATAGATAGATAGATAGATAGATAGATAGATATATATATAAAATAGTATAATATATATATATATATATATATATATTAAACAAATATAAAAAGAAAACACAAGAATCCTCCGTAAAGCTTTTAATGAAAGATTTTTAATGAAAGCGCTAAAGCTTTACGGAGGATTCTTGTGTTTTCTTTTTATATTTGTTTAATATTGTAATCCGATTACTGAGACTTTATTTCAATTTTGGATATATATATATATATATATATATATATATATATATATATATATATATATATATATATAGATATAGATATAGATATAGATATATATAAACATTTGAAGGGTTGAGGAAAAATCAATTTCTTTTTCCCACTGTACCCCTGATTATAAGCTGATATCATGCAATAGTATTCACATCTGTATTGCTTGCCTGGTATATTATAAGACTTGGTATGGTTTGGTTTTTATTGTGTGTAAAAAAATTTCTTTGAAAAGCAAGATTTTGAAACAAATATCAATCCCATTTATGGAATCCCAACCACTTGTGCGTATCATACTTTCAAGTGATACACTAGTTTGTTGATTATGATATGAACAATTTACCGTTAATCGTATATATTCATAGTCATCATGAAATTATTATAATTTAGCATATTGGGTCTAATACAATATACCCAAAATAACTCTGTTGATCGAATATTATAGTGAGTAAGGCAGTGAATTCATAATGCTATACATAATAAATATAATCGTTTTGCCGAACAACAGCTTTAAACATAATTACCCCTTAATACACATAATTCTTCAAAAAACAATTACTGAAAATGCCAGGGGTTGCTTTCATCATTGTTGGTAGACGCAGATAATATTGTTTGAAGAACAATGACAGGTTGATGTAAGCTTTGTACCCTTCTAGTGATTGGCAAGCTTTTAAAGCCCTCGACAGTTGATACCATCATACATCAATAAAACTACACAATACGCTTTAAGTCCCTTCAATATTTTCAATACATTGTTACAGAAAGCTCATAAAATGCTTTTTTTTCATTTTGACAAGGATAAATCTAGGAGGGTAAGAAAAGCATTTTCAATTGCCCACGAGTTGAACTTTATTGCAAACATAATTCTCAATGTTGCTTTAATTGCGCTAATGCTATTGTGTTCGTTCTATACAAGTCATCATTGTCGTACAGACGGTTTTGTTCCAAAGTGTCCTTTCTATTAATTATATGAAAAGAGAATGTTCAAGGAAAAAAGGAAATAA